TTCAGTTTAAATAAAAGAAAAACAACTGTTAAGAACCTGGTATACAGAACTGCACTGTTTTCATACATCTGAAATACATTTTAGAAGCTTACATTTAGAAACTTACTGTGTTATATTGAAATACTAATGGCATGAAATCTTAATCAGTTTTCCAAAAATATTTACACTGAACATAAACTTGTCTTCTTCCTAGGTGCATAAACATCTAAACCTTCCATGACACAGGAGTTAAGTAGTAAAGCATGCATCTCTCTGCAGCCACCAGGCCACACTCAGTGGCTATCTCCTTTGATAGTAGCAGTTTCTAGTAATCTCATTTTCAGAAAACAGCCTTCAGCCAGACACGGTGGCACACATCTGTAATCCTAGCACTCTGGAGACTGAGGCAGGAGGATCAAGAGTTTGAGGCCAACCTGGACTACAAAGTGAGATCCTGTTTCTATAATAAAATCTGAAAACAATCGTCTCTCAGTTATATTTTATGGAGGTTTTTTCCCCCTCCAGACTAAAAATCTTTCATAGAAAGATATATGTGGGCAATCAAATATGAGATTCCACAAAAGATGCTATTTAAAGAATAGAAAGGTGGAAAAATGTAAACTAAGCACTGTTCAAAAAGTACCCACACTCATCAACTTGGTGGTTCATACCTGTAATCCCAGCCCTCAGGAGGCCTAGGCAAGAGGATCTGGAGTTCAAGACCAGCCTGGGCTACACAGCAAGGCCCTGTCTCAAAAATACAGAACAACAACCACACAAAAAAAAAACCCACACTATAACAGTACCTTATTTTTGAAAAATAAAGTGCAATACTAATTATTTCATTTGCCGAAATTACTAAAAGATATGAATAGTATCTTAAAATTACGTTAATACATCTATAAAGGAAAACTGTTCTTTTCCACTCACAACATCTCTAATTTCAAACGTGAGGTTTCTACACCAACCAATTCTGCAAGTACACAAAATTGGTATCTAAAATTTAATTAAATTCTGATAATAGCTGCCCGCGCCCAAGTTAGCACAGAACTTGCTGGGTAAGGCTGTCTCACAAAACTGCTCCCTAACATTTCAGTCATTTTATTAACCTTTAGCTTTATTATGTACGGAGTAAACAGGATACAAATACAGGGCACAGCACAAGATGTAGCAGTGGTGTGGTGCTTTCCTGCCCTCCCAGAATATTCCATTGTTCCAGCATCTCTATGTGTGTTCAACAACCCACAAGCTTTCCAAAGCCCATACTTTAGGGATGTGATGGCGAACCTTTTAGAGACCGAGTGCTCAAACTGCAACCCAAACTCCGCTTATGTATCGCAAAGTGCCAACACTGAATTAAACTTTTAAAAACAAATGGGGGGGGGGGTTGAGACAAGGTCTCATTATGCAGTTTGGGCTGGCCTTGAACTCACTATGTAGCCCAGGCTGGCCTCAACCTTACAGGGATCCTCCTGCCTCAGCCCCCTGAGTGCTGGGATTACAGATGCACGCCACCAAGCCAATTATGCAATTAAACTTGAATGCTCAGCTGCTGGGGCAATGCTGGGGCAACTTGGCTCATGCGCTGACAGAGAAGACTTCGTTCCCACTGAGGCACACTCACCACCACTGCTTTAAGGGTTTGGGTTTTTTTTGAAGTTCCACTACTGAAGTATGACTGCTACAATCTCTGGCCCCTCTACCCTCCCTGGAAGTGAAGGATAGGTCCAAAAGTTTCCAGCTCCATCCTGACACTATCTAGGGACCCACCAAAAGTCCTGTGATCTTATTAGTATCCAAAAGACACTCTTCACTCCAGGATTCCAAGGGTCTTCGAAGTCTTATCAGGAAAAGGTATGAAGATATATTTTCAATTATATCACAATGGGGCTGGTGATACAGCTTTATGGCAGACCATCTGCCTAACACCATAAAATAAAAAAAGTATAACAACATTATAGTGAATTTTTAGTTGGGAAAGAAACATCTTCAATTAATTAATTCCTCAAATTAATGGTGAATTAATAGAAGCAATACTTGACCTGATGAAAATCAGAAACCATATTTTGCCACACAAATCAGATTTTGTTTTAATTTTCTTTTTTTCTTTGTTTGTTTTTTTTTTTTTTTTTTGTACTAGGGATCAAACTCAGGTTCTTGTGCTTGAAAGGCATGCAGCAGAACCACTGAGCTAAATCCCTGGCCCACAAATCAGATTTTGAAAGAAGCAACACAAAATTCTCAACCAAAAAATAAGAAACAGCACAAATATGATATACACACCAAACAAGAACCTCCAACAAAAAAATGGAAATCATAGAAAACAGGCAAAAAAAAAAAGAGTTACATATTCAGGACACAAATTAGAATTCTGGACAAACTCTAACTACAGTCATTATAGAAACATCCCCAGGTCTTCAAACCATTAGCATCTCTGATTCTGAGATCAAAACTGTTAAGATTTCCTGGCTCGCAGTCACTTTGGCCCATGTCTTTCTCACTTGGAGCTGAATCTGATCCTCTCCCTTACACATTTCTTTTATTATGTCAACAATCCTAAAACAAGGAAAGGTAAACATGTCCTTTATTCATTTCTTCCCCTAACACACCACTCCCAATTTTTCTTCTTATCTCAAAGGTAATAAAACCTAATGGAATTAACTAAGTATTGTGAGGAGCAACTAAAACTCCCTTGCTAGTACCTTTTTAGTTTACTTCCATTCAGTCTTCCCTACTTGTTGCAAATAGCAATCCTAAAAACAGCTGGGGGGGGGGGTAACACTAATTACACTAATTGTTAGTAACTTTACCAGTACTTCAGAGAAAACATACCCCACTGTCACAAATGGAGACAGTAAAGGGTAAGCCTTCTGACATGTTTTTCAGCCAGACTGTGAAGTGACAAGAATTAAGTTAAATTTTTAAGACTCTGCCTGGGAAAGTGTGTAAAACGTCAGAGGTAGGGAAAAGTATTATTAGACACACAGAATTTTACTAAATTTTCCACAGAAAGATCAGTTTTGAAAGCACATGGCTGCATTGGCTTTTTTGAATTAGTACATGTTTGCAATACTGATAATTTCTAGTTACACACATTTTCCTGCAAACTATATTACTGGGGTTTTTGACATGGGGGTCTCGCTATATAGTTCGGGTTGGCCTTCAACTACGTATCCCAGGCTGGCCTTGAACTTGAGGTGATCCTCCTGCCTCAGCCTTACAGGCATGTGACAGCATGCAGCTCCAAAATCTTATCTTTTTACATTGCTATGTTATTTTCTTTTCTTTTTTTTTTTTTTTTTTGGTACCGTATATAGAACTCGGGTCCTTGCACTTGCACAGCAGGTGGCAAAACCACTGAGCTAAATCTCCAGTCAGCTATGTTATTTTCAATAGTTTTTTTTTTTAATTTTGCAGTTACTAATGTTAAGATCAAGGGAGTGCTGCAACTTGACATAATGCCCCTAAGAAACAAAAGGGGAGTTTCAACATCGAAGGCTGCACATAGGACCTCTTGGGCAGTGACACTCAGCTCTCATATGATGGCCAGCAAGGGACATGGGACTTGGAAACTAGAGCCTGGAGTTCCTACTCCCAGCACAACTATTGCCATTACCCTCTACACTGCAAAAGAAAGCCCACATTTCATAAATTTGGAACAAGTGCGAAATACTAACAGTTTTGTTTTAAGCAATAATTGCTCAGTGTAGCTTACTAACTTCCTTCCCCCACCTATTTATACAAGTTGACTAAACTAGCTGTTAGCTATTTCTATAGCTGTCTCCTATGATATTTATACTGTGTTGTGTCATTAGGTCGCCCCTGTCACCAAGACTTGTGAGAATCTGAGTTTCTCTGGAACTCTTGAGGAAGGCTGCTCCCGAGGTGAACACTGCTCTGCACAAGGTGGAAGACAGTCTAGAGACCAGCTAAGACCCACACCTCTGTCACCTGGCTGCACCTTCTGGCCAAGACACTACAAGTCTATTTTTGCTGGTAGATGTTACTACGGAAGGTTGGCTTGTCTGAAGTTCATCAGTGCACACCTTCCACTTCTTCCGAGGCCGGTCACACCCAGGCAGCTTGAGTTTCTCAAAGAAGCCTCTGTCCTCTTCCAGAACGGTTCCCAACTCGGCTTCAGAAAGGACCAACAATCCTCCTTCTCAGACCATACACTTTCACAAACTCAAAGTTTGCATCAACTTTCGCTGAGATACAAACCCTCTCCCCAAAGCCCTGACACTTTCCTCAGCAAGACGCACTACCCTCCAGTGCTCTCCAAAATGTAAACAGCGAAAACCTGAAAAAGCACGAGTCCATCTTCGGGGGGTGGAGAAAAATTCTCAAATCTTTCCCCAGTTTCCCGCCACCACCAGCACCTACCGCGCTACCAGAGCCCCAGAAGCCTCGCCTGGGCCGAAAGGAACGCTCCCCGCTCCAATACCCAGGTTGAGGCCCGGGTCGCTCGGGAAACACACCTGAGATGAGCCCCACGCGTGAGGGGCCGCGGACTGGAGCTCCTGGTTCCTCGGCCAGAGCGGACCGCAGACTCGGCCGGCGCAGGCTGGCTGGGCGGGCGTCAGCGGGCTGGCGGACGAGGGTAACCCGACCCCGAGGCGCCTCCTCCGCCCCTGCGCCTCCGCCCTCCAGAGGGCAGGGCCGGCCCGGCGCCCGGGTCACGGTGTCGCGCTCTGGGACCTCGGGCCCGGCTCCCGCGGCCCAGCTAGGGAACGCGGAAATGGGGGTGCGGGCCCCACCCGGGCGATGGGGGTGCGTACTGGCGAGGGCGCGCGGGGACACGGGGCGCGGGCCAGCTGCGGAGGCCCGGGCCGCAGGCTGTGGTTGTGCTCTGCCCGCGGCGGTGCCGGCCTCCCGCCCTCGGCCTGCTTCGCCAGCGGGGCCGAAGACGCGAGGCCGGGCCGAGCTAGGCCGGGGAGCCGGCGGAGGTGTCGGGCTTCATGGGACCCCTCCGCGGGCCGCACGCCACCGTCCGGGAGGGAGAGCCCGGCGGGACGGCTTACCTGATTCCCCGTCTCCGCCACACGCCAGCTCCTCGGTGCTTGGCGCTCCGAGGCCGAGGCCGAGGCCGGCAGCCTCGCCCGGCCTAGGAACGCGTCCAACAGCCAGCGGACCCCTGGGACCCCGCCAGAGAATGAGGCCCGCTCCACTCCCACCCCGCGTGCTCGGGAAGCTCGCCAGGCCCTCTGACCCCGCTGGGAAGACCAAGCCCTGTCACCGGGGTGGGGGTGGGGGGGATGCTGAGCACCGGCTCCCGGGGCCCAGCCTTGTACAGGTCCGGGAAGCAGAGCCCGGCTGCAGAGCAGAAGGCTTCCCACTTGTACCCCCAAAACCGACCCTGCCCACTGAGCATGCCCAGCTCACTTGTTGACACTACAAGGGCTAGGCAAGCCCAAGGAGACCCAAGGAGGGTGCAGACGGGGCTCTAATGAACCCCACTTCTTTGAAAACTTTGAGGACCTTGGGGTGCTAGAGTGACCCATCTACCTTAGTACTGGAAACTACCCAGGAGTTAGTTGGAATGGCCTTCCAAACCAAGGCGGCCAAATTAGTTTGAATGAAAATCTTTTTTAAAGTAGTGGTTTTTTTAAATCCTTTATTAAGTTATTTAATATCCTCAAACACTGTAGAATTTCTAGAATTATAGAAAGGAATGTGTAGATTCGTTGAGTCCGAAACACTCAGTAACTTAAGAGAACCAACCATAGTCTGTTCAGTGGAACATATATACTCAGCCATGTGAACACATTAAAATCAAGGCACCAAAAATGATGGATCAGGGCCAGGGATTTAGCTCAGTGTTTTCGCCGCCTGCTGTGCAAGTGTAAGGACCCGAGTTCGATCCCCGGTACCAAAAAAAAAAAAAGATCGATCAATGCCCGGTTCAATCCCCATGTCCATTGAATGAGTCTGGAGTAAAGACCTGGAAATCCTTAGAATTTAGGTTGTGATTCTCAAAGTATGGCCGTGGGAACCCTCAGCATCCTCACCACCTGAGAACCTGATAGAAGTGCAGATTCTCAACTTTCCCCAGAATACCTGATTCTTAGACTCTGGGGCTGAGCTACCACTTAACAAACCCTTGGGAGGATCCTAATGCACACTAAAATTTGAAATCCACTCTTTAAAGGTACTCTATGTGATTTTAATAAGTAGCCAGAGTTGAGAACACTTATAATAAACCAAGCTTTTCTCTTTTTTCCCCCAAATTCCAAACTTTATCTAGAAGTTTAGTATGTTAGCAAAGAAATAATCTGGTTGAACAGGTGCCAGCCACTCCTGGATTTCCTTCCCACTAATTCTCTCAGAACATTTCAGTGCTTGGAAAATGGGAACCATCTGTTATTCACCTTTGTATACTGGTGCCTACCACAGTGCCTATAGTGGATGATTATGTGTTTATTGATTTGAAATAAATTCTTAGATGAACAACTTGTTCCAGGCACTGGTACATCTGCTGTTTATTTTCCCCCGAAGTTCTCCTCACCTTGGTACTTACGAAGCCCTCTGGGATTCAGTTCTCATCAGTAACCCAGAGCCATCTACCAGATTCTGAATCTGACTTGGATATAGGAGAAGATAAAGTCAAAAGCATTGGCCATGATTTTCTTTGCTAAAGTTAGGGCCCAAGGCAACAGAGGAGAGCAGCACAGTTGGCAGCCAGTGAGGTTTGGGAACAGCACTGAAGGAGAGAGATGGGTATGGGAGCTGGTGAGGAGGAGAGAGACAAGGAAGCCTCCAATGGACTCAAGTTCTTTCTCAGAACCACAGGTCTCTGTTCTGTATCTCCCCACTCTCCATACACACCTCATCTCAACTACTGCTTTGAGTAAAATGAAATAAATAGGAAATGATTATATAGAAGTACTTTCATTTACTGGATAAAAAATATTGCTGTCTTGTAATTATACCAAGCATAATTTATTTATAGACAATTTTTGAATCATTAATTTTTGAAAAATGAATACCAAGTAACTTCACAATGCACAGTTTTATGATACTTCTGCTTTACAATCCCACCAAGTCTTATACAAATCAAACTGTTGCCTGTTTACTCCATCAATATTTCCTAGTGATAATGAAATGTAAAAACACATTTTCCTATTTTCCTTTTAGCATAACACGGAATATTTTAAAACTCTGTGTGTGTGTGTGTGTTACCAAGGATTGAACCCAGAGGTACTCTATCATTGAGTCCAATTCCCAGCCTTTTACATATTTCTTACTTATTTTCTTACTGAGCTTCCTAGGCTGGCCTCCAACTTGCAATCATCCTGCCTCAGACTCCCTAAGTAACTGAGACTATAAACATGCATCACCATGCTTAGCTTTAGAACTTTTTCAAAAATGCAATATAAATAACAGAAAGCAACCACTTTATCTCTGCCCTTGTGTCTTGTAACAAGAATTCCACTGAGTTAAGCCAGCCTTAGTAGCACACACTTGTAATCCTAGCAACTCAGGAGTCTGAGGCAGGAGGATCGCTGTGAGTTAGGCCAGCCTGGGCTACATAGTGAGTTTAAGGCCAGCCTGAGCTACATAGCAAGACCCTGGCTCAAAATAAAAAAAGAATTCCACTGAGTTTAGTTGCTGATTCGAGTATCTAACAGAAGCACAATTTCCCATATGCCCATATGCCTGAGCGATGTCTTTTCCTTATTAAAAAACTTCACACTGCCTGGCAAGCACAAGGTCCTGAGTTCGATCCCCAGGACCGAAACAAACCAAAGGAAAAAAAAAAAACTTCACAGTGAGGAGGGGGATAATCACTAATTTAAGAATTGTTGCTCTTCCTCAGACAAAGGTCTACTATCTCGAATCTATAAAGAACTTAAAAAGATCAGATCTCCCAAATTTAAAGACCCAATCCAAAAATGGGCATCTGAAATGAACAGACATTTTTCAGACAAAGAAGTAGAAATAGCAAATAAATACATGAAAAAGTGTTCAACATCACTGGTCATTCGAGAGATGCAAATGAAAACAACACTGAGATTCCACCTCACTCCAGAAAGAATGGCTGCTATCATGAAATCAACCAATAACAAATGCTGGCCGGGCTGTGGGGAAAGAGGAACCCTGCTCCACTGCTGGTGGCAATGTAGACTGGTGCAAGCACTGTGGAAACCAGTATGGAGATACCTCAAAGAACTAGGACTGGAAATCCCATTTGACCCCGCTATTCCACTGCTGAGGATCTTCCCCAAAGAATTAAAAGAATCATACCACAGTGATATATGTGCACCCATGTTCACAGCAGCGCAGTTTGTAATATCTAAAACTTGGAAACAGCCCAAATGCCCATCAACTGGAGACTGGATAAAGAAAATGTGGTTTTTTTATAAAATGGAGTACTACTCAGCCATCAAAAATGAGAAATTAGAGACATTTATAGCTAAGTGGATGCACATTGAGGCAATACTCTTAAGTGAAATAAATAGGACACACATGTGTAAATACTGAATAGTTTCTCTGGTGTGAGAAACTGAAAGTGTAAATAAGGACTAAATGTATAATAGGTCATGTGAAATAGGAAGAAAAGGGGCAAAGGGGAAGGAAGTGGGAGGGCTAAGGGAAAGGATAGAAGGGAATGGGATTAATATGAGAAAATGGAAAAATAAGAACAAAATCTTTGTAAATAGGGAGGGCTGGAGGGGTTGAAGGGAGGGCTGGGCAAGGGTGAAAAACAAGAACCAAGAGAGACTATGTAAAGGTGCAAATTTCCAATGATGAATGTCATTATATTGTATACCTAAAATGTACCAATGATTAGAATGAATAATCGATAATGTAAAATAGGAATAAAAGGTCCAAAGGGGTAGGGGTAGTGGGAGGCACAGGGGAAAGGAAAGAAGGGAAAGGAAAACATGATGAGAAATGGAAAAAATGGAAATAAAGTCTTTGTAAATAGGGAAGGGTGGAGGGTGTGAAAGGAGGGCTAGGAATGGGGAAAAAATAAGAACCAAGATGCATTATATAAGGTACAATTCCCAATGAGAAATGTAATTGTGTTGTATACCTACAATGTACCAATAAAAGAATTTAATACAAAAATAAATAAATAAATAAAAGAATTGCTGTTCAGGGCTGGGGATTTAGCTCAGTGGTTTTGCTGCCTGCTGCGCAAGCGCAAGGACCCTAGTTCGATATACGGTACCAAAAAAAAAAAGAAAGAAAAAAAAAGAATTGCTCTTCAGAATTAAGTATTACATTAGATCTACATACACTATTTAAAAACAAAAGCACTTCCCTCTACCAGAAACTCTTGCTGCTTCTTCTTTTAATGGGATTAAAACCAAACAAAAATAGGTTTAGGGATAAAAAAAAAAAAAAGGTAAAAATCGAGTGGGATTGTGGGAAAGGAAGCACTAACCATAGTCAACTTTAAAAATATGAACTAATTATTTCGGCAAAAGCAATCTTGCAGACCAAGACCTTAAGGAACTTAGAGTCTGGAAGTATTTCTCGTTGTCTGCCTAAGCATGACTAAGCATTTGGAAAGCAGTTGTGTTTACTGTATTTCAGATTACCAGTCTCAAATAACTTTGGTGCCACCTAAACCTTTTCCTGTGAGCCTAAGAAAACTTCAGGACAGTCTTGGGTTTTCACCCTCACATAGCTGCAAAAATCTGAAAAGTTTTCATCTTTTCTGTTGTTCCTGTCTTAAAGCCTAAGTCTGCCCATTAATGCTTTTGTAGCATTATCAGGTGAATGTAAGTTATTTCCTATATTCCAGTGTAACAAAATGAGCAAATAGTTTCTCCCTTCTTAAGCCTATAGACTAGGTTAATTGCTGCTAAAACATCTTAAACCCAACTGCTGGGCATAAACTTTTCCCAGAATGGGGAAACCCACTCCCACCACACTGAAATGAGTTTTGCCAGTTTATTCGCAAGCTGGCTGAGTGTTTCGGAAGAGACCCAAGGTTCAAGTCTGTCTGCCCAAGGATAGGGTCCAGGGAAATTAATGAGATAAAGGAGCAGGGCACTCTGAGGCGTGGTGAGTGGAGGTGACATGGTGAGTGGTCAGCGCATGCGTAGTCAAACTCGGTGGCTTTTCACGGACGCATGTTCTAGCAATGGTGGCACAGAGTGATCTAAGGGTAGAGTTTTCAGCCCTCTGACAACAAAAGGTCACAGCTCAGACACCTGCACAGGTCCAAGTGAAAAGTCAGTGGCTTCAACAGAAGCAGCCTTCAAGTCCCTGAAAAGTAACCTGGGCAACTGTTATCATAATTCATACATCAGAGGTGTTATTTAAGTAAAGCTCACAGGAGACTGATACATTGCTAAGTTGTGTGACCCCCACAATTACTGACTTTTTTTTTAAAAAGAAACTAAAAACAAGTAAAGCTAAAGGGATTATTCATGTTTTCCCTTGCTTTCACTAATGATTCTACTATGCAC